TCGGCAGCGATCGGGTCCGGCCGGCGGTGGAATTCGTCGCTGCCGCCCTCGTCTAGCATCTAAATTAATGGAACTGATGTTGTGTTGATAGAAACATTTGAGTATAGTTTTTTGTGTGTTTAATTGGAAGTTGAACGTTTGGTACTCGTCGCGCGCGTTATCTGGTTTGAGTTGTTTTCCATCGTGGGCTGTTGGACACGTGTCACTTAATAAGACAATACCTTAGTTATATGTTGGTTTCTTCTTTTTCAATTTTTTTTTTCTCTTACTTTTGGGTCAAATTGAAATTTTGGTTGAATTCCAATATTTCCTTAACTATGTCCATCTTTAATGAACAGTCAAATGAAATTCTTTTTGCCTTATTTTTTCCTTTTTGTGTATAATCTTAAGTAGGTGTTTGAACATAAAAATTACATGTATTTATTTATTTTTGTTAAAAAATGAAGTTTTGTGATATGAAAAAAAAACAAATCTTGTAAAATTAGTCAAGTTTTTAAGCAAATCATTCACTAGCCAAGCTTTATAACATATAAAATCAGGAGCACACCATTAGTCTTGCGGCTTTATTTGATTTATTTTACGGATAAGTTTAGGTAATTCGGAATTATGTCAAATTTACCAAATATAAAATATTATTTTATTAAAAAATATGATATGTATTTGCTATGTTGAGCAATAATGGTAGTTGAAGAGAAAGTGCAGCTTCTATGTCATTATATGTGGTGTAACAAGGGCAATGGTGTATTTTATATCAGATTTAGTTAGCTTTGATTGTATTGATACACTCAACAAACTTTTTATCAAAAAATCACCCTCATTTGCTCGTTTATTGACAAATACATTTAATAAATTGTGGCTGTAAGATTCATTGAAGAAAAAATATGATTGTATCAAAGTTGAATTCATCTAGTAGTTCTCTTTCCTCACTCAATATAACGAGTGACCTAAAGTTCTTACGTTTATGTAATAATTTATTTTATATATATTTTATACTCAGTAATTTCCTTAAACACATCATAGTTATTATAATTTGATAATTAATATTTTTTCAATTGTCAATACAATATATTTTTTGTATATTTCATGACACAAATGTGCATATATAAATTATTGTACATTATATAATACCACAAATGTTTAGATCTTAGGGAAGTTCTTATCGATTATATTTTTGAAAACTTTTTTAATTGAGTAAGTTGTTACACAAACTTATCAAAATTATTCTAGAAGTATTTTAAAATAGAATTAAGAATTTCACCTATTGACTATGCCAAATAAATTATATCATTTTTTATTTGTATAATATTTTCTAATTTAATTAGTTTGAGCTTGAAATGTGTAAGAAGGCACCTCAAAGAATTGAAGAAATGTTAAAATATGATTAATTTCAAATCCAAGTGAATTAGACAAATTAAGAAGTAGAATGTAACTGCAAATTTAATTGTCAATGAGTTTTAATAATTGATAAAAGATCGACAACAAACTATTAAGAAATTTTCAATTAATATTAATAATAAATACATAATTGTTATAAATCCATTGAACTAAGTGGATGATCCATTAATTTTATTCATGAACTTATTCTTATCATGGATATGTATTCCCAAGATTTATCCTTATCATGGATATGTGTGTTCCCAAGGTGACATGAACCTTTATGGGATAATGATGTATCTATTAATTTGACATTCACCAAAGTGACCTTTGAAGTGATTTCTCTACTTATAAATAGATGCATCATTTACCATGTAAGACACACTTGAATAAGAAGAAAAGTCTTTTCTTACATCTACTTCTCTTGTCTTCTTTTCTTTATATTATATTATTTTGAGCTTGATGTTATAACAATAATCATCTATTTTTTATATAATATTGAATAACTTTGAGGCCTTAGTTTTCTGGCACCTAATTCTCTTGTTTACATTTGGTCTGGCAATTGAAATGCCTAATAGTAGTTGTTGGTGAAATACAATTAAAATTAATTATCTTCAGGGACGCGAATATCTCGCTCACTGCAGTAAAACTTTTCATTGGTTCAACAATAATCTTCTTGACTTGTCTCTTTCAAGATACAACAACACAATCACAATGTACAACCCAATTGGACAAGAGTTGAGTTCAAAGCTCCACAAAAAGAACACATTCCTTTAACTAAATAAAACTTCTTTTTTTACGGAGTAATTTTTATTAATTCTATATATTTTTGTACTCAACATAATATAAGATAAGTACTATTTATAAGTGAGAAATTCTTTTTTACCGAAAACCAAAAAAAATATGAATAAATAAATGATGAAATTATTTCTCATAAGTTACCTAAGTTATATTACATAAAGAGATAAATTAATGAATGAAATAGTGTGTGTTAGTCGTAAAAGTAGTTTTCAAAGAATGGATCAATAGTTGACCATCATCACTTCTACCATTAAAGACGGTAAAGATGGGATCAAATGACACTATATATTTCTTTCTTTGGTTATTTTACATTTTAATTTAATATACTGAAAATATAAAAAAAAAATTACCTAGCCTAAAATTTAAGGCAAGTAACTTTCTATAATGTGTAAAATATATAATAGCAAGGTTAAAATTCTCGTAGCACTATCATTATATACTAGTTAAATTATATGATAGTGGGCGTGAAAATTCTGATAAAAAAAAATTGTTTGAGGTAATTTGAACGACGACGAAAAAGACCTATTTTATGTAGTGACGGATTTGGTGTGACCGCATCATTACCATAATATTTTCTTCTCATTTTGTCTTTATTTATTATTTAAAAATTGCATTTTATCTTTTACCTTACCTTTCCATAGTAACTCTACCACGTACCCTACTTTTCTTGTGGATTTATCATTCAAATTATGAATGCGTGACATTATGTAATGACGGAGAATGATACAATCTATCCAAACACTGTATTTATTAAAACAATAAAGTATAATAAAATATGATACATTATAAAACAATACATAACAACCATCCAAACAAAGTGTAAGGATCTTGGATTTCAAGGAGATGATATAAAGTATAATATTTCAGAAGCTATTGACTTGGAATTCAACATTGAACTTGTTTACATCTTTGTGTTCTGCAACTGATTGTCAAGATTGTGCATTCTAGCCGGTCTCTCTGAATGGTGAATCATTATGGGAGTTGGATTTGGACGTAGAAACTAGTAACCAAGTACAGACAAGGGAAAAAGCCAAGATGAGATATAATGAGGATAAGGAAACCAGAACGCGATCATACATACTCGACTAATAGTTTTTATTTCAGAAAGTCACTCAACTAATGGTAATTATTTCAGAAAGTCACTCAAATTTGTTTTGTAACAGAAAGTTGAAGGGTAGTACTTTTCTCTAGCATGATGATTTGATGATTACAAGACACACCTGTTTATTTACGGTTATCAAACTCTATACATATGTGATTTTTGTATCAAGCTCTATACATATGTGATTTTTGTTCAATGTGATGGACCTGTTTTTTTATTATTTACTTGAATTGAGATTTTTCTTTCATGTTGATCAGATGAGGCATAATTATTTGCCAAGAAAGGTCATTTCATGTGAATCATGATTTCTTCTTGAATTGGCATTTCAAAATTATCATTTCATCCTTTATGACTTGCAGGTTCGGTAAGCAGGGCGGCCACCTTGGATCGACATTCCTTCGTCGAAAAATTATATTCTAATTTTGTGTTTTCAACTCCTCTGCTTTGCCAAAACATGCCAAAGTACCAATATAAACACTGCGATCTTGTCTTGAGATTTTTTTAATTTTTTTTTGAAGTTCACAGAATAACAATTTATTATTTTAGTACTATATTTTTATTATTAATTAACGTAATACATACAAAGTATGTACACTTAATTAATTTAAATTAAATGCATCATCCAATAATGGAATTAAACAAAAAAAAATCTAAACATAATTAAATATCAAATAAACAGGAAAAGCTCTTGCGGCGTCGTTCTGTAGTCCATCGTCTCAGAATCTGCACTTCTCCTTCTGTTTCTCTGTTCCAAACCGGCAATCGTCGGCAAAATCAGCTCCGACGAAGTTCCGATCAGAAACCGCCACGTTGTTTTCCGGCAAACGCTGCAAAGAAGGCACCTTATATGTCTCTGAGCCAAGAAATTAGCTCCGTGAACCGATCTATCGCATTTCCGGCAAAGAAAAGCATTATCAGCTTCACAATAAACAGAGGCCTCTGAACTACAGAGCGCACAAGAAATTGTAGACCTAATTATGGATTCTCCCTCTTTCAATGGCCCTTTGCAATACGAAATTGAGGTAGTTTCTTCTTCACCCTCTCTTCTTCCACTACACATCTTTAATTTTTTGTAATTTGAAGAAAAATACATGTGTTATAATATGTGAAGAGAGGGGTTATTTATAGGAGTTTTTGAATGCAGGGGAGTTTTTTTTTTTTATAATACATAAAGTACTTTTATCTATTTATGTCATCCAACTTTAAGTAAATACAAGTAAATATTTAAATTTGTATAAAATTGAATAAAGAGATATACATGTGATACTTGGAGTCATACATGACAATTTGTGTCATATATGGCATCTTACGTTATTATATCACATAAGATGTGCGTGTCTACATGTTCAACTTCATACAAATTCAAAATTAAAAAAACATTACCACAAAGGTCAAGTTAAAAGATATATTTGTGTTTTCTTTGCACCTAGTTTTGATGTAGCAGTTATATTTCGATTCATCTTATTGTTTCAATGGTTTCATAATTGGACCTTGAACCCCTTTCATATTATGGGAGTGTTTGGTGCATCACTTGTATTTTGGTGTATTCTTCTTTCTTTTCTTGATCTTTCGTTCCACATATTCCTAATAACTTTTTTTTTTTTCTCATTTGGTATGATCAAATAATACAAAATGTAATTATTCCTAATTTAAATTTGTGTTGGATAGTATTTGTTACAAGAAAAACAGTTTCCTACCCAAAAAAAGAAGAAGGTGTTCATTCTCAAACTCAAATTTAAAATTTCTACTTAAAGAATGAACTAACCTTATTCATTTCATCACATGTTTTCCAAAACTTAAAAAATGAAAGAACCTAATTTATTTCATCACATGTTTTCCAATGGAGGGTATCTTTGTTTGTTATTAAGCATGATGCTCATGGGAAAATAATAGTAATGTGGTTAGAAAGACACCATTGTCACTGTAGGGCAGATGGGTCACTGTTAGAACAAATTTAGACTAGTTTTTTACATACTTTTTTGGGGGGTTATTTTGGTAGACTTAATTAAGTAAATTAAATACAAGCAACTAGTAAAAGTTTTCATTGCAGCAACTGAATATCACTAACTCCAATTATTCTAATATTTATAATATATCTTGAATATTTTTTTAATTTTTTATATAATTATTTTTTATATTTTAGAACATGTTAGTATAAATTTGTCTTTGCCTCTTAAAACAAACTTATAAAGATTATAAATTATTTTTTAGGGCTTGAATTTAAGATCTTTAATTAAGGGAGGTGATCGAAGGGTGGAGGTGGGGGGGGGGGGGGGTTT